TATCAAACATCTTAGGCATAACATGGAACAGGTATTTTTCATCAAGTATTGATATGCTGAACTTTAAGTCCCTGTAGAATATGATGAAAAAACATTTAAAAATTAGAATATATTTTAAAAAATAGGCATAAAGAATTATATACTTCTTATTATTACACCTAAGTCCAAAAATCTCACCATATACAACCTTGAAGCAGGACAGTCCCACAATATTCCTCTTCCTATCTCTTGCCTTCATTCACCACCCTTCTTTTTGAACAATCATCTACCCGAGAGACAGCACAGCAGCAACTGGCATGTCATGACAAGCAGCCCATATTCAGAAGCCAGAATGACAGGCACTCCAAGCATGAAACTACTATTACAGATTACCATCTTTAGTGCAGTTGCTTAGTTCAGTATAGGTATCAGTATATATAGTTAGTCTGGGTGAGAATCTTTCCAATTAACTGCTAGATTCAAAAATCTTCTGGAGATTCTCAGGATCACTGCCTTGCCCATCTTCTACATATAACTGTATGGCTTGACATTGTCATGTTTCCCAGCTCTTCTCTTTTCCCTCTCTTGATTAGTTAGTCCTCGAGATCCTGCTTTCCTTTTACTTGTACTATACTTCTCTATTTGTATTTCTTCTTTTCAGTTCTTATACTAGGGAAACTATTTGGTATTTACACATGTGTGTCTGGTTTATTTCACTTATGAGTATACCTTCAAGTGGTATCCACTTCAATATAAAGGCTTTGAGTTTATCATTCTTAATAGCTGAGTAATACTCCATTGTGTAAAAATACCACATCATTTTCAACCATTTCTCAGGTGATGGGCATCTTGGTTGTTTCCAAGATTTGGCTATCACAAACTGTGCCTCTATAAACATAGGCACACATATATCCCTATGATATGATGTTTTCAGATCCTCTGGGAAAATTCCCAGTAGAGAAATAGCTGGCTTAAATGGGATTTCCAGTCCAACTTTTCTAAGAAGTCTCCATACTGATTTCTGTAATGGTTGCACCAGTCTACATTCCCACCAGCAGTGGAGAAGGGTTCCTTTTTCCCCACAGCCTCTCCAACATTTGTTGTTGGGTGATTTCTTTATGATA